CCCTAAGCCCCTAAACCCTAAACTAGGGTTTCAGGTCTTAGGGCTCAGGGGTTTTCGGGGCCCAGAGCCGAACTGAAGCTTCCTGCAGAAGGATGCTGAAGACAGTTCCATGTGGGGAGTTCTCTAAACCCTAAACCCTAAACCTCTAAATGAGGGCTCTGTTTTAGGCCCCCAATATTAGTACGGCACCCTTATAAAACGGGCCCCAATTCAGAGAACTACCCATGTGTGCATGGTGAGTGTGTTTGTAGAAGCAACCCGTTCTCCGGTTCTACAGAGATTTCGATGCGATTTCTATATCCCAAACCCTGAGTCTTCAAATGTAAGCCGAATCTACTGAACCTTCAACCGCGAAAGCGATTAGCGAGGCCTGAAGACCTAGTGGTAGTATTCCCCTTAACGTCCCAACACGTGAGTATACTATGCTACAGTATACCCTGCTCAAGGTAGAAGTCACATGCCTATATTGCATCCTAAACCTCGTGACTTCAAGTCAAGGACTACCCGTCCGGTCGCGAACACTTCCGCGGCCGCGGATGGTGCCCGCCCCCTGCTGCTGAGCCTCAGCACAAGAGATCCGGCACTTCGTAGCAGAGGTAGGGGTGCCGTGACAGCGATACTTCCTGAGATTATCTTGCTTTTACCAAACCCTAAGGGTCCATGTGCCCAAATATGATCTACTTTGGGCCTAATGTACCCATATAGGGACTACTTTAAGGCCAATGTATATACTATATGAGTACATGGACCCTTAGGGAAACGAATGAGAGCATAAAACCAGGGGGCGAAAGTCTTTTTTTTCTCTACTTGGGGCCCACTGGACTTACATTTTAGGCCCTGCATCACTGGTAGCACTAAGTATGCGTACTCCTTCGAGTTCCCCTAAGTCAAGATACTCATGGTCATGGATGCGCCAGAACTGGGGGTCTGACAGTTTGAGCAGGGCAAGGACCATTCGACTAAAGACCCTATCCATAGGCCCCTAAGTAGTTCCTTTTTATGGTTTATATTTAGAATCCTATAAGGTAATCCCAAAAAGGAACTACTTAGGGGCCTATGAGTGGAGTACGGCACCACGCTTTCAGTGCTGTATAAATTTCCTGCACATAAGCCTTCAAGCACCCAAGGAACATCCTGCAAAATCGGATTCGGTCACACCCCAACAGATGCCTGGAAAAGAAACGTTCAAGCACCCAAGGAATATCACACAAAATCTAGGGAAAAAACCCAAAAAATGTCAGATACAGGAATATCCCATGAAAGCCAGCGAAAATCCCATCAAACCCCAGGAATATCCCATGAAAGCCAGGGAAACCCCAGGAATATCCCATGAAAGCCAGGGGAAATCCCATCAAACCAAAGGAATATCCCATGAAACCCCAGGGAAAATCCCATGAAACCCTAAACCCTAAACCCCAAACCCCTAAACCCCAAACCCCTAAACCCTAAACCCCAAAGCCTATAAACCCTAAAACCCCCCAGGAATATCCCGGCTTCAAGACGGAGTTTCGCTTCCGTTCGCCCGAGCCGGGTCCCGGCGCTGCAAAGCTCTGAGGGTTGGCAAAGTCACCAACCTGGCGTCCTGGGTTTGTTTAGGGTGATTCGGGTTTACATAGGGTTTAAGGGTTTAGGGTGGATTGTTAGGGTTTTGATTGTTTAGGGTTCAGGGGTTTTGGTTTTAAGGGTGTAGGGTTTGTTAGGGTTCTTAGGGTTAAGGGTTCAGGGTTTGAGGTTGGCAAAGTCACCAACCTGTGGGTTTGTTAGGGCTTTAAGGGTTCAGGGGTTTAGGGGTTTAGGGTTTAGGGGTTTAGGGGTTTAGGGTTCTAGGGATTTAGGGTTTAGGGGTTTAGGGTTTAGGGGTTTAGGGTTTGTTAGGGCTTTAAGGGTTCAGGGTTTAGGGTCTAGGGTTTGTTAGGGTATTGAGCGTTGGCAAAGTCACCAACCTGGCGTCGTGGGCTTGGTAGGGTTTATTAGGGTTTGGGGGTTTAGGGGTTTTGGGTTTTGGGGTTTAGGGTTCTCAGGGTTAAGGGTTCAGGGTTTATGGGTTTAGGGTTTAAGGTTTAGGGAAGTTTAGGGTGCAGGGGTTGTGGTTTAGGGGTTTAGGGTTTAAGGTTTAGGGTTTAGGGGTTTAGGGGTTAGGGTTTAGGGAAGTTTAGGGTCTACGGGTTTAGGGTTTATAGGAGTTAGGGTTTAGGGGTTTAGGGTTTAGGGGTTTAGGGTTTAATGCTTTAGCGATTTAAGGTTGAGGGTTTAGGGGTTGGGGTTTAGGGTTTAAGGGTTTAGGGTTTAGGGAAGTTTAGGGTTTAGAGTCT